AGCACAGTGAGGCTGGTGAGGTCCAGTGCCGGCTGCTGGTTGACCTCAGCCACTGCATTCAGGGGAACTATGAGCAGCAGCATGACTCTGGAGAAACCCGGACAGTGCAGGAACGTCAGAAGGACTGCACACAATACGAAGTAGGCCGTGTGTGCAACACAGGTCCACATAGCAGTCAGACTTAAACCTGCACAAAGAAGAAACCCAAAACTTTTATGCAAACATTTTGCGATTTCAAAATAAATCCTTCGACCTTCACTTTGCTCTGGTAATTCAAAGCTGGTATAAAGCATTAAAAGAAAGGTTTCTACACTTTGAATTTTAAATCAATTTCTTTAATGAGTCTCCAATAAGAATCACTCAACTGAGGGGAAAATATATTCCAGTTGGAAATCTCAGAAGAACTTTGATTATTTTACTTTTAATTTATTCTCTTTTTGGTGGAAAAACCAAACAATATAACAAGTCAGTGATGTATAATATGGAATTATACATCAAATACATCAAAGTATAATTCCACAATCCAATTCTTTACAGTCAAAGCATTACATATTTCCTCTGATTCAAATTTCTTATCTTATACTAATAGACATGAGTGAAGTTTAATTTGCCAAACTCACCTGCCCAGCCCAGGTAGCTCTGAATCATGTGAAGCCTCTCCTCTATCCGAACCTCCATGTTGTCCAGGTACTGCAGCATGACTCCCAGTGTGCCGTTCATGCGCTCCAGTTTGTTCATCAGGTCAGTGTAGTATTGGGAGGTTTGGTCCTGGTACTGCAGAAACTCAGACATGCTGTGGTCTGTCGATTCACAGCAGCAGATACTTAGAATCGATGCAGCTCAGTCGTTTACTGTGATTAGAAAAATGGTGTGAAGTTGATCAGATACCAATTTTCTGGTAGATATCCTGAGCTTGGTGCCTGACCTCTGCAAGGTCATCAGTGATTGCTTTGTGGCCATCTTGGACCTCTGAGCTTTGGATCTGCAGATGTTCGCTCACATTTTCTAACATAAAAGAAAACTATTTGAAACTCCTCCTTTCAATTAACATGAAGTTAAATCCCTTTGTCATTCAACAGGGTGCATGGGGGATTTATAGGGATGAAAAAATAACTACAAGTGTTTGATTCTTCAGTGTTTTCTCATAGCATAGAGTGGTTTAGCACAAACTACTGGTAGTTTTGCCAGATTGAGTTCACTGTAATTAGCTTATAAAACACACCAAGCCTCTCACCCATTCTTTTAGTGATTCCCTGAATGAGTTGGGCTACCAGCTCCTGTCCAGAGGCAATGAGGGCCTTTTCCTGACCAAGACGTTCCAGGTTTTCTCTCAGTGAACCTTCCAACTGCTCCTGGCCCTCATGCAGTTTGCCCTGTTGAGCCTGGAGGGCGCCATGGCCCTCCAGCAGCTTGTCGAGAGAAGCTGCAGTCAGTTCCTTCAGCTCCAGCTGTCCAACCTGCATCAAAACAGCATAAGAAACTCAGGATCTGGCATCCCGAAGCAAAGAGTAGAAATGTTTGCTTAAATTAAGAAACCCAAAACTCAACCTTCAGGTCTTTCATTGCATCTAACTGGCTTGTTGCCGTGGAGATGAGAGAATTGACCGTAAGCTCTGCTCGGCGGCGAAACAGCTGCTGGCGAGCTGCGTAGCAAACTGAGCGTGCTCTGTTGCTCACTATGTGGTAGGCATTCCAGGTGTCCGGGTCCATATCTGCTGTGCATTCTTTAATGGTCTGAAACAACAAAAACGCCGTTACAAAACTTTCTAAGCTGTTCTATGGGGAAAGAAAACTTTTTGTAAAAAATAAATCTCATTTCACAATATTACCATTTCCTGAGTGCATGGGAAGGACCGGCGCCCTTCGATCTCCGCCTGGCAGTTAAACAGTTCCACTCCGAGCTTGGCAAGATTTTCCTCAGAGAGGCTTTCACAGCTTGCCCTCAAACGAGCAACCACCTGCAGACATGTCCAATGCTTCAATACATTTTTCCTTCCTCTTATTCGTTTAATCAAGTTAAATTCCGAGTCTTTGGAATCTGTTTCACATTTTTGCGTCATTCCCAAATAAACATGTAAACCATTTCTTTAATCATGCAGATCTTTCTGTATTTTGGAGGTGTGTTTAAGAAAGTTACTGGTAATAATAGTGAATCAGGTCGGGTTGCAATTTACAAGGGATTAAAAAACAGACTCAATCCTTTGTATAATAATGAGATGGGCCAGTCTAATTATTGAGGGGTTTTTTGTATATCACCCTTGTTCCTCTCCAAACAATTTCCTTTTCTTACAAGAAAAGCAATTTTCTGAAAATGAACTATGGAGGAAATCCATGTTTACCCTGTAGTGGCAGCTGTCCAAAGGGCTCAACTCCAGCTGCTTCGCCTCAGCCAGAAACTTCTCGTCTGAAGTCACCATTTCAAACTGAGCATCCTTCGCCAGGATCGCTGGAGCTACGGGAGGGGGAGCTGTCGCAGGGGGAGGCTGCGGGGTCCTCAACCATTCAAAGAGCCCGCTGACTGCAGGCCAGGCCAGCATGCAGACCGTAACCAGCAGGAGCAGACGGTGGATCAGAAGGTGGCCCATATCTGGATCACAACATGGACAGAGAGATTTAAACTGCATTTTTGTTCATAGATTCAAATGTCTTGTGGCTTTATGGACCTCTTACTTTATTTACATTCAAAGAAATTACATTGTCTAATCCTACAAGAGATTTTCTTGTATTAAACAAAATCTTTATTAAACATGCAATATTCACTCTAACAGTATTTATTTTAACAAATTAACTTGATCTATTAATGTGATGCAGATTAAATAAATAAAAAAAAAAAATTAATTGTCATATGAGGAATGGTAACTGAACAAACTTGCAGGACAATCTATAATACTTAATAATCCCACATAGTTTCTTATTTTTAATTAAGCAATTACTCTGGGCTAGCTGCAACAGTGTATTGCATCACACCGCCCCAAAGGCATGCCGCACCTCAGAAACTACTTTAGGTCCTGAGGTTGGAGCATGCCTCAGAAAACTGTCTCCTTTAGACAAAGCAGGAAATGCATTTAGAGTCCTCTCTGTAATGCTGGCATTGGAAACACCACATACTTTGGCTACTATTATGCATGAAAATGGTAATAAGGTAAACTTGCTAATCAGCTTTAAAAAGATGTAGGAGTACTACATATGCCTTGGTTACAAGGGTAGCAGGTTAGACTGGAAACTTAACACTGACACTTTAAACAAAACACATAATACTCTGCAGTGAAAGAAAAATTGCATAACCTCCAAGTGGAGTGTGTTTGTTTTATAGACCATGTGGTTCACTAGAGGAACAATTTTAGATTTTAAAAATGGTTTGATTCAGCTAAACCCAAAAATATTTTACAATAAAACATTCTGTGACAGACATTTATGAAAACTAAAATGTACAATGTACATTTGAAAGCCAACTGATTTACACTCTAGCTGACAGCTAGGCCACAGCTGTCATGCAGATTTTAGGCAAGTAAGGTAATTTTATTTATGTGGCACATTTTTAGCAACAAAGCAAATCAAAGTGCTTTACATGAATTAAAATACAAACAAAATAACAAACCAAAGGAAAAAGCAAAAGAATAAAGATAAATAATGTTGATAATCCATTCCAGTTCTGGGTTGCTTAGTAGTTTTTCTGGATTCTAAATTTGTTCTAATCCCCGTTCTGGGTTGCTAAAGTAAAAGTGAATAGGTATCACGATTGTTTAAACTCATGAATCAAAATATGCGAATTTGATATAAAATGAGGTGTTTTCTATACTAAAACTATCTCAGTGTTGATTATTGACTGTAGATGGCGACAGAGACGGATCAATCATTATGAAAGTAACGTCTGAAGAATGGAAGACAGCTTTCTAAATGCATTTTCTCTTCCTGCTAAGCGATTCTAAAGAGAAAAAGCTTTTGCAGTAGCCGAGATTAAATAAATAATAATAAAAAAAAAACTTAATTCGGTTGCTTATTAAGACCAAAGGTAGGAGGCTTGCCCAGGCATGTCTGCTCACTAAGTAGCACCAACTATACACTGGTTTACAAATATATTTTCTAATATATTTTTTAGCAAACCCTTTTGTGTAACCATATAACAACAAGCATCTAAAATGACAGTGCTTATTTTCTTGATAATTTATACAAACAATAAAAAATATATTGGCTTATCGTTCATTTGAAAGAAAGGATAATGTGAAAAAAATAAAACGAACATACGCTTAGAGAACAGGCAAAGTACCTTATCTGAATTTGAAGGAAACTCCTGCAGAAAAAAAAAGCCACTACTCTGGAGATCCCACAGGCAATAACAGCTGATGGAGATAATGGATAAATTTGCTCCACGGTCAGGGAACCAATCATATTTGTCGCATTTTTCAACGATGCCTTTATGGGTGCGCTCAATTTGTTTTTCGGCATAAACGACAAACTGTGTCAGACGACGCTCGTTGCACCGCCCGACCCTCTCGGCAGGGCGGATAGAAGAAATCAAACAAACTCACAAGTCAAATGGAAACAAATTATCCGTTCTGAAGATCCATTCACTGGATCCCCACTGTTCATTTGTCCAGAGTGAAACAGCGCCTCGTCCAACACAGTGTGTCGCTTGCTCAGTTTTTTCAAGCTAAGTGCTAATGTTGTATCAAGCAACAGAAAAAAAAACATACGCCCCAGTACCCATTACTTCAGACTTTGGAACAAAACGCAATTGAACTCCATATAAAGTAGTCAGAAGGAATGATTGCAAAAGAGGAAGTGATAGGGAGGAAGAGGAATGTTTTATTCCACTTTAAGAAAAACAGAAGACATGAGAAGCTAAGATAATGAGGCACAATAAGCATAAAAGAACTTGATGCGAGTAAATGTTGCTACACATTCGTGTACAGTAGGTGGCGGTATGCACCTTGAAGTTGTTTTACGATCCTTCATAATAGAAAAGAAGAAGAACGCACTCCAAGCCAGTTGGTGGCGGTAATCATAGACAATATAAGATAATAATATAAGCTAATAATAATAATATAAGCTTATATTATGTCTATGGCGGTAATGCACAACATGATTGTTTGCCAACCATAGACATGAATACGTAGACGCCTCGTGGAGCGCTGAGTTGTACGTAACAGCGTCCGCCATCTTCTATGTGGCAGCAGAGCGATAGGAGCACCAGAGAAAGATGCCTCACTCATGTTCTGCATGGAATTGTACTAACCGCTTTTCATCACAAACAAGATCCATTGGCATAACCTTTCACAGGTAAGAATGGAAAGTGTATTAATGCTTGTGTTTGTTCATTACAAAGTCATTTTACATACAGATTTTCCTGATTTTGTGTTCAATACTGTTCATCACGGACGTAATACTGTGATATCCCTGAAATCAGTCTCAAAACAACCAAAGAAAGTATATATTTTTTAGTAAATTCGACCGAAGTAGGTACTCTGATTATTGTGATTTACTTATCAAACGTTTGTCATACTATGTAGGTTTCCAAAAGACAGTCATCTAAGAAAGAGATGGGAAACAGCTCTCAGAAGAAAAGGGTTTTCTGCTAGCTTGTCCTCCATGCTCTGCAGTGAGCATTTCAGACCAGAAGATTTTGACAGGACAGGTCAGACAGTCAGGATCAGAACTGGAGCTGTTCCTTCAGTCTTCCGTTTCCCAGCTCATCTCCACAAGGTCGGTGCTTCTAGAATGCCAAGATTCAGTGCCACACCATCCTGGAAACAGTATTTTCCCTTTTTGGATATGCTTGAATGTACTTGTTAGATAATTTTTGTTATCTTTTATCATTGGCTTTAGCATGTGTTTACCAGGACATCTAAGACCTCAAAGAAGGCAGAGGAGACCCTGTCACTAGACTGCTCCCAACTTGTTCAAGAGGCTGAGCCAGTGTCTGTGGCCACAAATGTGAGTAAATACATGTTAACTTTGTCTTATGCAGCTGTTAGCATTATCCTGTGTATATGAAAACCTCTGCTCACTCCCACCCTGCTCACAACACCTCCACTCTGTCATTTTTTATACAGACTCGCATGCACACAGCCAGCCCCAGGCATCAGCAAATTAAGCAGCTGCATGTCTTCTTCATCCCCCATAATAAAAGCTTGAATTCCAACAGAGACCATAGTTCTAAATTTTTATTTGTTTATTGATAATGAGAATGCTATTAAACTTGATTTTTCATTTTAATCATGAAGAGGTTTTTTAATTAAATTTAATTTTAAATTTAAACTTGAGCCCCTCTCCCAGATTCGACTAAATATATATTGAAACGCTATTAGTGATGCTGATGTTCTTAACAATGCATCATATTCTTCTTAAAACTCCATACCATGACGAAACAGCCATGAACAAACACTGAAGCATGTCACTATGGAGCATCCTTCAAACACATGCACATATATTAACAATATTCACATCTTTGTTGTTATAGGATCACTCCTATGCTCTGCCTTCATCCAATGATGATCTGAGGGCCAGACTCAGGGAAGCCTTGGCTAGGGTGGAGAGTCTGGAAAGGGAGAGGAGGAATGCAAAGGACAGAGAGAAGAGGGCAAAGAAAACTGTGAGTGGTCTTTTGGAGGATCTCAGGATGAAGAAACTAATTAATGAAGATTTGAAAGAGCAGATCGATCTATACTCAGGTATAAACAAATAATTTCTTTTTTGGATTTTTAACTGTTTTAGATATTGGTTTTGTAGTTGCATTTAAGAATAAGATAAAAACAGACAGTTGTAATGCTGGGGAGGAAGCTGCTGGTGAGAGAGAGGAGGGGTCCATCTATCCCCTCTCTTACCCATTGGTTTAACTCCCTGGGGCAGCTTTCTGCCTTAGAGAGATTATCTTATAGACTGTTAAATAGGGTTGAGGAGTACAACAGGAAGTGGTCCTGCTACTTCTCATATATGGGTTAAATGGTATTTCCAGCTCAGATGTAATTAGACAAGATGAACTTATGGTAATGTTGTAATTATCTAAATGCATCAGGGTATAGAGCATTGTTATTTTATGTATGTCAATTTTCAGTTGATGTTTATGTGCCTTGCCATTTTTTTATTATCATTTATATATATATATATATATATATATATATATATATATTTTTTTTTTTTTTTCTATTATTATTATTATTATTATTATTATTATTATTATTATTATTATTGCTTCAAGTAATTTCTGTTAACTGTATTGGCCTCAAGAATCCACAAAGACTAACCATTGTTTAACTGATGCTAAATCGTGATATCCTAAGTGTGGAATTATGGTATATTTTTCTGTTGGAAAATCAATAAAGTTCAAGTCATGAAAAAAAGATTATGTAAAAAAAACTAATAAAAAATAAATAAATAAAATCAACAATCATTAACCTACCAATAAACTCTGTAAGTGGTGGAAAAAATATAAAGGAAACTAAGAATAAACTATCAAAATCCTAGTTGATAAAGAAATAAAGCACAAATCGCTCCATCAGTGACTTACTAATTTGCCTGTGCTAATTGAATTTCAGATCTTGTTCGCCAAATTCTTAAAAAGCTGTCCTGTGATGTGTGCTGTGGTAGTTTGGTTACTGATGCTGCACCTGGATCATTTGATCAGAGCTATCACTTGCTCACATTAAAAAACAAAGGAGGATTGATGACTCCTTCTGAGGGCACAGTAAGGGTCGTCAGATCAGCGGAGCGTTTCATTCGTCAGACAAGGTTAGAACAAGTTGTCAAAGTGGCCTTGATGTGTCAGTTGATTCTTCCAGAGATTGAGTCTGA